TGGTAGAACGTGTAGGCCTGTGTAATCATGGTCCACAGCAGCTGAGCAGTAAAACTGTAGTAGGGTGTTCCACTACTTCAACCTGCGAGGACTTTGATGGACAACGCAGCGGTGACAAATATGAGAAGATGTTTACCTGTGTAACTGAAAGACGCCGCTGCCATGACTAATAAATGAGGCTTGGTAATGCACCTGCTGGTTCCACGCCAGAGGAGCAGATCAGCTTACACAGCAAAGAAAGGCACTCGTTTGGTTGTCATGGATGGAGGTCCAGCTCTGTGTTTGTCTGCTGGGGTGGAGGCTGTGGGGGCAGTTCTTCTCGTCTTCTCATCACATATACACACACACACACACACACACACACATATATACACAAATATTTGTATTTTGTGAAAATTCTGTCTCCATCAAAGAGCTCTTTGAGATGCTCCCGGTTCCCAGGACTGGAGGCCAAAGGTCATTGGACTTTACTGTAAACGACTTCCAGTCAGCATGAATGGTTTGACAGCTCGTTGACGCTCGGAGGGCATTAGCCATATATGGTCCAGGCTGGACACACATCAGCCAATCCAATCAGAGTTCCACTGACAACTAACTGGCTTACCAACATCACATCACAAAACAGACATGATTACACTAGTTAAAGCACATAAGAGGATTGTTGATGTTCCTCGCCAACTTCTGTCTTGTTGTCATAAAATGACATGCAGCGCACAAACAACTGTAGTTTGATATCCTCCTCCCTCCAGCACCCCCCCCTCAGAATGGCCTCCAAACTTGCCTGTTACTAGCTTCTTAACGGAGGGGATCTGGTGGACAAAACCATCTACAGGCTGTCAGAATGACCCCCCCCCCCACTGCCTCCTCCTCCGTCCAGCACCTCCTCCTGTCCCTCTCCTCCCCTCTCTGCCTCACTGGCCTACCTCCAGGTTGTCTTCTGCAGTCAGCGTTGAGCTGGAATTCAACACTGCAGCCTTCAGCAGCACATGAAACACTGCTACTTGGAAGCTTCCAGAAGAGCGCCACCACAGAGGCACAGAGCCGTGGCGACTTCATCCTCACTGGCTGCTGTTCACCGATCAGCATCAGCTCGGCTACAGACAAACCTGCTGCTGTGTTAACTTTACTGAGTCGGTCAGTGTTGTTGAAACAAACTAACCAATCAGGAAGTGGAGCTGAGATTACGCAGGGTTTGTAATTTGTTGCACAACTCCAGTCGGGGGCGCGAGGAGAGGAGCAGCGTTTCCAGGAGTGTCCTGTCCTTGACCCAGGCAGTGGAACAGGTCAGGACTCTCTCTGCAGTGGCAGACACCTGCAGGGCTGCTTGTCCCTCTGCACCCCATCCCCACTGCACCTCCCACCCCCACTCAGATGAGCTCATTCTGCAGGTGGCAGCAGTGTCCACCGCATGCTGTGGTAACTTCCACATCAAGGCTGCAGAGTGGGTGTCTAGTCATCCCTCAGCAGGGCTCTGTGTGTGAGTGTGTGTGAGACTGTGTGTGTGTGCACCCAACAGCATGACACTGCTGCTTAAACCTGGCCTATTAACGAATGAGACTGAGCTGCCTCGTGTAGAAGACTCACTTGGCACATCTGCTGGCCACTAACGGTATTGCAGTTCACAACGATACATTTTAAATCGACTGAAGAAATAAACGTTGTTATAATCTGCCATCAAGTGAAGTGAGGTGTATTTTGTGGCGATTAAATGGTATTTGGTTAATTTCACTTAAATGTGATTAAAATGTTAGTGTTGATCTCTGGTGTAAGTCATCAAAGTGTTTTTAATGAAGTGGTGACTTTAGATGATGATAGGACGGGTCATTTGTCTGCACTAAGTCCATATTAAAAAAAAAAAATGTATATTTTTCAAAATTCACTCATCAAAGCAAATACTCTCAGTTAAATATTTATTGATTTAAACTATATATACACAGTGATATCTTTTGGCTTCACTCCACGGCTCAACTTTGGAAGAGACACCTGCCAGTGAAAACCCTGAGTCACTCCGTGACTGGTTAATCATCATTCAGCTGGAGGTTTGACTGACAGATCGGACCAATCATTAGTTTTATAGTGGGAAAAAAAAATAACCTGGAACGGATAAGAACAGTTTTTATGATTGTAATTAGGTGAATGTTTTGAAATTATTTAGGTATATATTTTTAGGAGCAGAAACACCCTGAGAAGGGGGGGAGGATAAGTGAGAACAGAGGTCAGCAGTGTCAGATGCCAGGTTTGGGGCTAATGTTGCTATCAGGGATGCTCCTGGCCCAGGATCAGCTGGAAGCTAAAAACCACTGCAGTGGTATCTTTTCATCAACAGCCTCGGCCAAGTGATTGTCAAGTTCTGCTGGGTCAGACTGACTGTAAACTGTCGTCCTGGCAGAAAAAAAACAAATTCAGCTCACATTTGGTAGGTCTCTCACTCAGTAGAGGGAGGGGGACCGGGGGCCGTGGGGGTCACCTGCTTCAAAAGTCATTCAGCTTCAATCAGGTATTTATTACAATATAAATAAATGTCCTTACAAAACACAGGGCTGTGAAAGGTGCTTCAGTTGTCTTTGTGTTTTTTTTGTTTTGTACAGACTGAAACCTAACCTGGTGCCGGCGGTGAGAGGGGGGGCAGGGGGTTGATGTCCGAGTGTGTGCTATCTGGGGCGTTGCCTGGGTTTGATGTTGTCTATGATCCGTGGACTGCAGTGGCTGATGTAGCGCAGAGACGGGTCGGAGTAGTTGAAGGGCGGAGGCGGGCTGTAGTGATTCTGCACATGGTTGGGCAACAGGTGGGGCACACTGAAAGAAAAATCCACAGAGAATCAGGTGACAGGAGTCAACAACACAGAACTGCAGATCAAAACAAGACTGAGATCAGGAGGAAGTCCAAGATGTCCAGAGCCCGGGTCCAAGAGACCACGTGTTCTCAGACCGGCGCCCAGATAAATCAAACACAAACAAACCTCCACCGTTATCTGACTCCAGAGTTCAACACCAACACACTGAGCTTCTCTTCATCACTTCCACTGCGTCATGTGACGTGTGCTTTATAACACATTGTTATATCATAGCATATAATCTGCTCAATCTGACTGTAATCCCACAGGCTGCAGTCAGCCGTGGACAGGGTTCTTTACTGAGTGAACACTTCACTTTTTTTTTTTTAAATAGTTCAATATTTTATTTCCATATGTTCTGTAGAGGGTGTGGTCAAGACCGTGATGATGTCAGACCTCAGGTTACAGACAACAGAAGAGATAGAGTCACCAAAACAAACACTGTGTTGCTATGCCCATAGATCTGCCTTCCCCACTGAAATTCTATTTTTTTTGTGTATTACATTGCATTTGTATTATACTATGTATTTTTGTATGTTCAGTTTTTATTTTAAATTTATTTTTTAAGGGCCTCTGGCTACATTAATTTAAAGAGATCTGGTGGGAATCTAAGTTCAGTTTCTCCTCATAAATCCAGTTGGACCTGGACCAACTGGCATGTCTTTTAACATTGAAGGTAAATCAGAACATTTTCGTATTAGGCACGAATTCACAGGTTTGTCCCGGTCATACAACAGGATGGATCCAGTCTGATCTGATCTGATTAAAGATCTAATCTGATCACAGTCAGATGTGATAATGACCCATCAGACTGAGAGTCACCAGCGACCAATACTTGGCTGCGAGTGTTGTTCGACTGCAAACGCTCCTCCGTTACAGAGAAGTGGTTTCATAAGTGAGACCAAAGCTGTTAGTAGGATGAATTTGTTTAATATAGTAAGAGAGAGTGGGCAGCCCCTCCCACAACTGAAGTCCAACACGTAAAGACCAGAAGATGGAGGAAGACCTGAAGTGAAGAGTGAAGAGTTTTCACTGCAGCAGCAGCAGCAGTGGAGGATTTACAGCCTGAGTGAAGGACTGTCTCTGGGCAGACTACTACCTTCAACCTGTCAGCGTGTGTGTGTGTATGTGATTTTCAGGTATCTGAACCCATGTGGAGGTGAGTTGATGGTCAGTGTCAGCGGGGGTCACTCTTGGGGGGGCGGCGGGGGTGTGGGCTTCATGTTACTGTCCAGCCACTGGCTGCAGCACCATCATATATTTGGTGGTGATTGAAGATGAACCCTGACCTCACCTGGGCCCAGAGGAGCTGCCAGCTCAAACAAAAAAACACTAGTCCTGTTGTCCTGACTTCTGGTCAGTGTGACAGGAGGGTTGGCTGCACGTGGACATCACAACGCCAGGAAAAAGTTGTAATTTAAAAAAAAAAATTTCATGACAAAGATCAGACAAACCAGGATCCAGATCTTCTCTGTTATCAATCTTTTCAAGACTCTTTCAAAACCTTGAAAAATGGATCTTAAAATAAACCTAAAATATCCACACATTGAAATGACGTGATAATTTGTTTCGCAATACCGTATCGATATTGGTCTTAAACCTAAAATATCCATACATTGAAATGACGTGATATTTTGTTTCGCAATACCGTATCGATATTCTACAGCATTCTATTGTGTGTGTGTGTGTGTTAGTGTGTGGGGGTGGGACTCACTCTTCTGTCGTCTTCTTCTTCTTGCAGCAGCAGTAACAACACGCCAGTAAGGCCAGGAGGAGCAGCAGGAGCAGAGGGATACCCAGACCCAGGACCAGACCCAGGATGAGGTCCAGCCTGGGTTTCCCAGTCTGATGTTGTTCTGAAAGATGAGTCAGTGTTTTTTTTAGACACTGCAGTCAACCATGGTTATGACCTGTGTGCTGAGCCTCACCTAACACACAGCTCTGGCTCTCGTCCATGTCGGTACCGTTACACAGACACCTGTAGCCTCCGTAGGTGTTAGTACACTGGGCTGGAGGGACACACTGGGCCTCCATGCTCTGACACTCGTCCACATCTGCAGGTTTGGACCAGAAACAGAACATGAAGAGATGTCAGGACTGAGGCTGGTGGAAGGGTGGAGCCGAGAGCCGAGAGCTTTGGATGAACAGCCAATGAAACGATTCTCACCGTCAACAGAAATACTGTTAATGCCGTAGTGGTTGCTGACTCTGGCCATGTAGTCCCTGACATACCAGTGGGGGGTGTCGCTGGACATGTTGACACGATACTCCACGGCCTGTGTGGACCCCGGGCCTGAAACCTTTTTACTGGCATTGTAGAACTTGTTCTGAAAGCCCATCTTCAGAATGTCTTCCAACTGAGGAACAGGTAAATAAAACATGTGGTCAAAGGTGGTCTTCATGACCCATCAAAAGACACACACACACAGACCTGTTTGAGTCCATCAGGTCTGGTGTCCTTCCAGTTCACTGAGACGTTGAACAAATTGGACCCTGCAGAAACACGCAACAGCAGCTGAGTGACCGCCCCCTACTGCCCACATAGAGTCATGACATGTGAAGGATGTGAGAGATCTTACCTGGGGGGTTGGCAGAGTCACCTGTGAGGACACACATGTTATCATACTGTAGAACAACATGACTAAAAATGCACCGTCAATTCTACAAATTATTAACTATTATTATTAATTATAATTATGTATTAATCATCAAAGCTGAAAACATTTATATGAATGTTATGTTATGATGTGAATCCTTCACAGACTTTAGATGTTTATATATTTGTTGTTTGAAGTACTGTATTCTTACAGTACACAGCAGGTACTACTACAGCATGAGTAAATTATATGAATGTAATGTTATGTTATGACACAGCAGGTACTACTACAGCATGAGTGTATCCTGGAGTCACGTACCACATCCGTTGGAGTCTTTGTATCTGCAGATACATTCGACTGAGCCCGGCGTGTTCTTACACTCAAACTTGGCGTTCTGGCAGGTGGACAGGTCTGCACACTCGTCTATGTCTGCAACAGCCAGACGTACTGCTGAGAACATCTGCTGAAAGGTGTCAGTGTGAACAGAGCGGTGACGGCTGTGAACCTGTACCTGAGCAGCTCACTCCGTCTCCTTCATATCCGCTCTTACAGCTGCAGGTGTAGTTCTGTTTGGTGCTGACACAGTCGGCGTCTTCGTGGCAAGGGAAGGGAAACGGGGGGAGGCACATGTCTGGACACACACATGAACACACACACACACATAAACATGACCTGTGAATCCATGACATCAGGGAAAAAAAAAATCCGAGCTGTGACACAAACCATGTTCGAAGCACTTGTACCCCTGCTGTCCACTAGAGACAGTATTCTCAGGACACTCTCCACAGGTGAACGCATCAGGCTGCGTCTGTGGGAAACAGTCCACTCCTCTGAAACAGGGCTGGCCTCGACAAATATTGGAAGAGTTTCCACAGAACTTCCCACTGAAGCCCGGTGGACACAGGCAGCCCACCACCTGAGGAGTGGACACACATCAATCAAACTTGAACGATTCAAAAATAAAAAATGCTGCAAAATTACATTTCCAAGGACCAGACATTGATAAATAAACACCAGATTAGAATGAAAAATAGCTGAGACAGTGCACTGTGGATCACAGCTCTCTTTATCACAAAATATCTTTACAAAAACATAGAAGATAAAGGTGACTGGGGGGTCTGAGCACTGACTGAATAAATAAAAAATCACCTGGAACTTTCCCTTCAGGTGGTTCTCGATGACACTGTCGTACTGGCACGTTCCTCCGTTCAGACAGCTGCAGATACGCAGAATCGGAGTGAAGAGTGAGCTGGACCGGTCGTCGCTGACCTTCAGAGTCAGATGGACAGGCTGGGTGCTGACGGGGGTCCACAACAGGAAGCCGTCACCTGAGGTTTAAGAAGACGAGGGGGTTACAGCAGCAGTGTAACACAGGGTGGAGGTTAGAGAGAGAGGTGGAGGTCTGAGAAGAGAGTGACCTTCAGGATGACTATTTTATTTCATCTTCTTTTGTGTGTGTGACTCACTGCCGCCGATGGAAGCCCCCGGAGGCCTGGGATAGAGCATGGAGAAGGTGATGGGGTCTCCATTGGGGTCCTTGGCGACAATCTGAACCCTGAGAGCGGAGTTCACCTTACAGCGGATCATGGTCGGCTCTGTCACTATGGGCGGCATGTTACCTAACAATTTAAACACACCACACTGGAATGAGTGAAGGCCAACGGGTGGAAATGGAACTCCTTCAAAACTGTGCAGGTGACTGACCGTAGACCTGAGCCATTTTGGAGTAATCAATGTCTGCCATCAGGGTATTCTGGCCCAGCTCAGGGCTGCCGGTCGCTACGGTGTCCAGGACACACAACATGTTGCCCTTACAGCTCCTCCTCATCTCCTCCACCTCAGCAGGACTGACACTGGACAGCAGGTCCTGAGAGGAGACAGGCTGCAGTGGTTCCAGTGGAGGTGGAGAGAACAGCAGGCTCTCTGGGTCTGGTACCGCCCCTGCAAACACACAGAACCAACACATGAGGACAGATGTGGGTGGGCACAAGTGTTTTTCTGTCTGATTTGGACTGGACTACAGTGGGAACACAAACCACAGCTCTGATTTAATGAGAAAAATGTGTTTAATTTAATAGTTTAAACGTGTTTAATTGTTCTTTGTAGTGAGATGGATAAAATATATTTTATTATAAAGTATTTACATTTGACAGATTTGAAAGAGCTTCCATTTACAAAGACAGCAGTGCAAGGCCTTATCGCCATCTAGTGGTCAAGTTATGGTAGTAAATTCCCCTTCCTCATTGTGGTTAAACTTAATATTTATTGAAAAATTGCCTGTAAATGTTCATGTTTTCCCTTCGGTCCAGATGTAATGGAGATTTTTTCATGTGGAAACAAACCTTGCCTTTGCGTAAACATTGAATCTGGAACAACCAAAGGTTAATATTATAAACACGGAATGCAAATCTTAACGCTGACCAACACTGACACCAGGTGGTCAAACACGGCATGTCTGTGTTGATGTTCCACTCACAGGACAGACCAAACAACTGGATCTCCTCCTCAGGCGGCGGCGTGTCAGCTGACGGCAGGATGACGCCGTCAGACATGAGGAAGTCATTTGAGTGGTTGGAGCTCCAGTGACCCATCAGACCCACGGTGTGGTTGTAGAAGGTTTGGGGGACACCCACTATCGCCCCCAGCTGGTTAGAGCCATCCACCCTCCATGCTAAAACATTCAGACCCCCGGCGTAGACCACCACACAGCGCTTCACTGACACGCAGCGAACAGCAAAGTCCTTGTTGGGCTGACGCAGGACTTCTGGAAGAACAGTGATCAGAGGAGTGTCAACAACAAGCAACAGACTGAACAGCAGTCAGAGGTGATGTCATAGTCATCATCACTCTGGAGTACACAGTAGAATATTCATCTACTACATGTATATTTGTACCTGTAACACCAGAGCCCAGGTACTGACATACTGTAGTATCTATGTACTGTGTACAAGTGTTTGAACATGTCATGAAACGACAGACGGAGTGAAAATTAACTGAAGCCGTTAGTGAATGAGTCAGGGATAATTACCAGTTGTGACTGGAACCTCAACATCGTCCACAAACATCTGGAGTCCTTCATTGTTCTGTGCACTTCTCAACTCAATCTGCAATTTATACACAGTAATGTCAACAGTACAGTTAGCTGCAGAACCGGACCAGAACCTGGTTCCGTCTGTGGTTTTAGAGTCTTCATAGTGTTTAGATTGACCTTGCCGATGCCCTGGTGGAAGGCAGCCAGGCGGACCACCACGGGGACTTCCATGGGCCCCCCCGTGCCTACGTGCAGCCGGTCAGTCTGTCCTTGCAGGGTGAAGACGTTGGAGCCAGTGACGGTGGAGAGACGCAGAAGAACAAACTCTCCCAGAGCCTTGAAGGTGTACTCGGTACCATCAAAGGTGTGGAAGTGGAGGCTGCCAAACACCATGGCTGCAGGACAAAAACCACAAACTGGTTCGTACACAATCACTGTCAACACAGGACACTCTGGAGGTGGATAATCAGAATCCTGAGGGTAACACCAGTCACTGCATCAGGACCAGTGATAAAACCTTCATTCAGAGACTGTTGGACGTATGTCTACGTCACCCGTACACAGGTCGTTTCTCACCTACACCCTGGGTCGTCTTAGCACCCTTTGTAGTGTGACCATCAGCTCTGTCCCAGCTGTAGCCCTGACATCGGTCCAATGGTCTCTTCTTCAGGTAGAGGTGACAGAGGGGGGAGTCAGTACAACACCACTGGAACGGTAGGAGATCTCCATCTGGAGATGGTGAGAGGTGGGGTTTCATTATCACTTCACTGTGACTGGTGGAGGTCTTTCAGCAGAAGCATCTGAGTTGGACAACTATGGAAGCACGTTGGTTATTATAACTGAAATCATTATCATCATTATCACTTTACAATGGTGTTTTCTTGTGTTTCCATGTGTGAACAACCCAAATATCATGTTTGAATTCCTGTAGAATCACAAACCAATGTGTTTTTCTTGGCTGTGTCCAAAGAAGTAGCGCTCGTTGTACCCAGCCAGTAACGGACCCTCGGGGTCGTACACGCAGAGTTTTCCTGAACCAAATCTGTTGGACAGAACCGACTGAAAGATGTGTCCTGAGGAACCCCCCCACCGCTGACTTCTTAACTTCTTCAAGGTAGGGCTGGGATCACTGGTGTCCTGCAGGAAGGTCAGGTCCTGCAGGGCCTGGCCCCGGGTGCAGGGACATGAGAACAGGTCCTTGGTCCACTCCGTTGGGTCAGGCTCATTCACAGCCCAGGCCTGGCAGCTGATCTGGGGGCTTTCCCCTGGTTCGTCTGCTGCCGGTTTATCCGATGGTACGCCTGTTGTTGGTTTGTCTGTTGTTGGTTTGGAAAAGTCATACACCAGCTGACCCGGCTGACCCAGGGGGCCAATCACTTCATGTGGCCTGTATCTGCCCCCAGGTCCAAAGAGGTTTTCAGGTGGGTTGGTGGGCTCTATGAAGGAGCGTTCTCCGTTAGTGTAGCCAATCACCGCGTCGTGGAACTGCCTCTGGCCTGGACCCCAGTTCATCTCCTCATATCTCAGGAGAGCAAATGATCGAGACCCGTCCGTGGTCAGGATGCACTGGTAGGTGTTTGTCTGAGAGGGACAAATGACATGGGTAGAGAAAGACTAAAGGACATGTTTAACTGTGAGTAATATTTGGCTGATGTGGGTTTCTTTAGATGCTAATGTTTCCAAGGTTAAACAGTGATGTAACGATGCATCGAAAATCGGTTAAAAATTGACAAAAATGCCTGACAATTCACATCAGTTAAAATAAAAAATGAATCGCACATAAAAAGGGCTACGGTCAAAAAGTCATTGGTCATTTAACCAGGTCAATAAGACCAGAGCAGTTTGCCTGTGAACCAGACCAGACCAGTGGTGATGGGATTTTACACAGTTCTGAAAAAGAGACGATCATTGTTGATCTGGTCACAGTTTGTCTCGAGCTCAGTTTGTTAAAAAAAATTGTGATAAGATTGTATCGAGAACAACAAAGTGTATGTTTGTGTATCGTTACATCCCTGTTAAACAACATCTGATCTTGTATCGTTACATCCCTGTTAAACAACAATCAAAGGTCTTCAGTCGTACATTATTAAGTTACCATGATTCATGTGAGCCTCACCTCTGACAGGTTGACTTTCTGATAAGACACTGGCATCACATGGTCCCAGGTGATTTTGAGAATCCACTCAGGGACAAAGGGAGGCTTCATATGCTGCTGTTCAAACCTGGTCACTTCACGTGCTGTGCGATTAAACACTACCTGAGCGTAGACGTCGGATAAATCCTCCTTCGTGTACTCCTGCAGAATCCAGCATCAAAGACGAAACTGAGCTGTCATTTTATCAACTAATCCTATTGGTCAGATTCTGCCAGCTCTGGTGCCAGTTTACCTGGTAAAATAGTTGCCCATTACCCAGGGTGAGGTCAGCATCATCCCAGAAGACAGCCAGCAGAGCCAGGTCCATGTCCTCAGGAAAACCAGCGGCTGAAGGGGCCGGCAGCAGGAGCTGCTCATTCTCCACAGAGGTTTGGAACTGGACCAGGCCGTTGTCAGAAAACTTTACAAGAACACAGGAGATATAAGATAATAAGTTAGAGTAACTACAGTGAGAATACTACAGTAATCTGCTGCACTACTAGACTTTAACCCCTAGGATCAAATCAGTTACTGTAATGAAATATTTTTAATACATGTACAAACGTCAACAGTAAAATAATCGCTGCTGTTATCCTGAAGAGCGGGAAACTCACATAAACCCTGTCGTACGTTTTCCCCATGAATGGGAATCCCAGTGGTGGGACGATGTACGGAGAATTCCCATCTTCTACGCTGAAGATCAGATCATCGTCACCAACTGCCTCTCCGAAAGGGAGCGTGGTGCTTTCTAAAGAGGGGGAGGGAGGGAGAGGGAGGAGTCAGAAAGTTAGTCAGTTATAATAAGTTAGCACCCGTGTGTAGGTCCATAAAACTGGTACAACTTTCTGCCTGGTCTGAGGTCATAAAATAACTCCATCGGGAGTTCCCTGCAGAAAGTTAGTGTCAAAAACATGTCCAACCCTGTCGGGACGTCGGTGAACAAAATACGTCGTCTCTGGGACAGGAACAGGTGTAAGACCCTGGCAGGTTGGTACAGGACGCCAGCCCTTTACACCCGAGTCCTGACACACATTCGTCCACGTCCTCACAGCCTTTTGGTCCGTAGCCGTTGTCTCGAGTGGCTCTCCAGCCACGACTGCATGAGCAACTAATACCACCTCGACGGTTGGAGCAGGTGGCAGCAGGGTGACAGCGCCCTCTGGACTGCTGACATTCGTCTATGTCCACACACAGTGAGCCCAGACTCATGAAGCCGGCGACGCACACACATTTGAAGGAGCCGGGCGTGTTGTGACAGACTGCGAGAGCGTGACACGGTTTAGTCAGGGCGACGCACTCGTCCACGTCTCTGCACCAAGAACCGTTTCCAGAGAAACCCAGAGGGCAGTGGCAGGAAAAGGAGCCGGGGAAGTTCCAGCACCGGGCCACGGGGTGACACGGCGAGGAGTCGCATTCATTCGTGTCCACGCACGCCCCCGTCTGTTCGTGGTAACCTGTTGGGCAGGAGCAGTTGTGTGACCCAGGGAGGTTGGTACACACCTGGTCAGAGCGACAGGTGGAGTTATCGCTGCACTCGTCCATATCCTCACACTCTGAACCTACAGGGCCGTATCCAGCGGAGCAGGGGCAGCTGTAGGACCCCACGGTGTTGTTACAGACCGAGTTCTCCGGGCAGGTGTTCGCGTCTGGGCTGCTGCACTCGTCCACATCCTGGCATTCTGTACCATTCAGAACGAAGCCCGCATCACAGGGGCAGTTGAAGGAGCCCAGGGTGTTTACACAAGTGGAGTTTGGAACACACACTGAAGAGTCGGAGCATTCGTCTTCATCCAAACATTCTGTCTCGTTGCTCCAGAATCCTGTGTCACATTCACAGTAATAGGAGCCGACACTATTCAAACAGGTCCCATTGATGCAGAGCTCCCCAGGCTCCGCGTCGCCGCACTCGTCCACGTCCACACACGACTCGTTCGCTGCGGAAAACCCGGCGTCACACGGACACAGGAAGCCACCGTCGGTGTTGATGCAGGTGCTGTGCTCAGGGCAGGTAGAGTTAACACACTCGTCCATGTCTTCACAGTGAGTGTCGTTGCCTTGGTAACCGTCCCAACACTGACAGAGGAAGGATCCAACGGTGTTGAGACATTCAGAGAAGTTGGTGCAGTGAACCAGGCCGAGGGAGCACTCGTCTACATCCACACACAAGGAGCTGTTGCCTGAAAAACCTGGGTCACATTCACACCCGTAGCTCCCTTCTGTGTTGACGCAGCCACTGTCTTCAGGGCAGGAGAAGTTTCCAGTCAAACACTCGTCCACGTCCTGACAGTGTGTCCCGTTGTCCTGAAAGCCGTCCCAGCAGTCGCAGACGTAGGAGCCGTCAGTGTTGAGGCAGTAGGAGAAGGGACGGCAGGCCTCACCTTCTGGACGGAGACATTCGTCTTCATCCCAGCAGTTGGTGCCGTTTCCTTCATAACCGTCACTGCACCTACAGTAGAAGGAGCCCCGGTCTGTGTGGCACTCAGCCAGAGGGTGGCAGTCATGGCTGGCGTTCAGACATGTGTCTTCATTCACACACGTGCCACCGTCGTACACCAGACCTAGTATACACGAACAACTGTATGACCCCGGGGCGTTGCTGCACGACATGTTGCTGCTGCAGGTGGTGTTCAGCTCACACTCGTCCACATCCTCACAGACGAAGCCGTCACCGCTGTATCCGTCCAGGCAGCGGCAGCTGTAGGATCCGTTGGAGTTGAGACACAGAGCCTGGACGCTGCAGTTGTGCGGCAGGGAGGTGTTCCCGTCACACTCGTCCACATCCAGACAGTCATAGCCACTGCCCTCCATGCCATGTGGACAGGTGCAGGAGTGATTTCCAGGCAGGTTAGTGCAGCTGGCAGCTGGGTGGCAGCCCCCGTTTTGGAGTTGGCACTCATCAATGTCTATAATTCATCCAAAATGGAACAGTGTCAGGGAAACAGCCCTAAATGATGCTAAAAAAAAAAAGCTGAAGAGACGGACAACTTACAACGGTAACAAAACCAACGTGTGTGTCACAAACAACAACACCAACAACAACAACAACAACAACAACAATCAGGGCTCTTTTACCTGAGCAGTTTTTCCCGTCACCTTCGTAGCCACTGAGACA